ACTAATATACAATGTTTCCATAGTTAAAATGTTCATTCGAACAAGATTCTGCTATTTGTTATCATGTCATTATTTCATTGGTACGCTTAATTTTCTAAATTCAATTGAAAAAGTTTAATAATGAAGTGAGAAAATTTACTATTCGAAAGCTCTCTCTTTTTGTCGAATTTTATTTGTTTTGATAATTTGAACTGATTGTATGTTGTATTCGTATTCTCTGTACTTTTAAAATTAAAGCCATACATATGCCATTGATCACAGGAACTGAAAAAAGAATCTTTCAGTAAAAATTAGAGATTTTTCTTAGCATGATCGTATTGTTTCGTATCGAGAGTCAACATCGAACCATAAACCTTATCCTATGTTCGAATAGTCTGACAACAATTATAAAAGCTCAAAATCTTACACACATTGAATCGACTCGAAAGAATTATTGAGGTCTATTACGAAAATTCTGTGAGCATTATTGTTATATTCAATTGATTTTTTGAATGTAGTGATGAAGAGAATGAAGTATGTGATAATTAAAAATACGTTTAGTTGCTGAATATCTATAATCCATGGTAATTTTATTGGAAATTTTCAAATAAACTCGTACAACCGTTTCATATTAAGTTAGTTCGACTTCCGTTAATAGTACTAGAAATACGACATACTTTAACGAGTGATGCAAAATTAACAAAATTTATGCGAAAATATTTTAAAACTATTATCAAAGAAATATAAGTTATCAATACTTTCTTTAATAAAAAATAAATAATCTTTCCTATGCCAAATACTAAGTACTTCAAAACATGTTAGAATGGCGCTCAATTGCCCAGCTATTTTTTCTGATGACTCAGCCCACCCTTTGTCGACTAATTAACTTCAATTCAGAAAATATCCTGTTTCATCGATAAGATATTTTTCCTATATATGAACAATACTAACAATCACTAATTGTTTATTGAAATTTATTAAGTGTGACAAATAAAACTCGACATAAAAGATTAAATATAATGACAGAAAGAGAAGCATGATGATATGAAAATCAAGGACGGGTGCGGGTGGGTATCGGTGTATGAAAATAGTTGTTAACGTAATCCACATGCACAACTAAACACACACAGACATCCCAATCATACCCATATCTGCGCTCAACCACAGTGAGACTCATACCGAAACTCGTACTGACACCAACATGGCACTTACATAGATTCCTAGTCCTCGCTGGAAATAGATTGGCATGTAGTTGGCGACATTCGTTAATCCTTTGTGAATAGCATTAGTTTATCAGTGTTAGATTGAATTGTACAGAATCGCTTTTCTGACGATTGAAGTGTATATGAAAACTTGCAGTAGGTCTGTTAGATGTGTTACATGTTTCTTGAAATAAGTATTTTTCTGTGCATTTGCATGTATTCGGACATTTTTTTGCTGAAAGTTCATGAAAGGTGTATACGTGAAAAAAAAGAATGGAGATTTTTTTGTATTCGATTGAAATCTTTCTTTTTTAATTATATGAGAATAATTTAAAACCAAAATTGAAAATTGAAAATCTCTCTGTTTACAAGTGAAATCGTAAAAAATTGGCAGCTCCAATAGATGAAAAAATTCTCCAAGAGATTCATTTCAAAGACTGCGAACAGCGTGAAGAACGAGAAGCAAGTTGCTGCATCACAATCATAGATGAAATTGATACCTCTAAGAGATTTGTCTGCTGGATCGGTATCGATCCCCAAGTCGAATAGTCCACTCAACAAGCAAAACGATCAATCGAACAGTTATGCATGGGAGAACGAAAAGATGAACAATGGGTACGCTTGGCATATATTAACTATGCTAAATGAAACTGTTTGAATGTTTTTCTAAATAACGAGCTTTTTCAGTTTTGAGAAAAAATACCGGCGTCCGGGCTTCTACTTCAAATCTGTCATAAAAGCTGCTATTCCTGCTATGCTACTTGGAGGAATTGCACTGGCTGTCGTTCTCACATTATGGCTTAGTTCATCTCAACAAACATCGACAGTGTCACCTGCAACAGGTATGAAAAATGTGTTTTAGAGTTGCCAGACGTTTGGAGGAAAGTATATTAATAATTGTATATTGTCCTGCTCATAATAAGAGGATTCAATGTAGTTTGAATCTATTTTGAGTACTTGATAATGGAATATCAAATTTTATTATAACTGAGTTTCGAATAGAGATGCAACGATGACGATGCACCGGTCAACACTAAGCCTGTTGTTTCAGTGACGTCACGTAACTGATAATCGAAACTTCTAAGCTCAGTTTTTTGGATAGGAATCACCAGCCATGTCTGAACAAAGTCTCCTTTGCAGAATCTTATGCAATATTTTCGCGATGTGACTAACCCTGAGGCTGGTGAGAAGATGAAATCCTACAGTGATGAGCGGTTTTTAATATAATTCAGACCTCTTTAGACTAGGAGAAGTCGATGGTGTCTATCCATCAGTCATCATCGTAGGTTCCTGATATTGTAATCACCTTCATCAGCTTTAAGCCTGATGGTCAAAACTGCATTGCTGCATTGCTCTGCCAAATTCGGCACTTTGACATATCTTGACACTATCAGATGACAGCTGTATGAAATGACCATTCTTCTCTGTACTCTGTGCGTGCCCATTGCCTTAATCGTCACTATCGCCATTCTATGCTCAAGCATTACATCAATTTTAACATGTCTCTGACGAATTCTAGCACCTAAGGTGTCACTGATTCCAACTTCGATTCTTGACTTGCAATGGATCAGGAATCAGTTGAAATTGGAATATATTAGATTGCAATTTAAATTAGTCGCAATGGGAATTGAGTATGAGCGGAACGTTACCCGCACGGTGACAGTTACTGGATAACCGAATATTCTTCGGTTTGATTCTTCCATAAAGGTAGAATCATTATACGAAAATAACGATTTTTTATAAAGTTTGGTTAAAGGGATTCAGAGCAGAGACCAGTTGACTCAGACATGAAGTAAAGAATTCCAAGAAACTGATTATAGATTCGCATTGCCTTACCCCGAGTATCTTTGATAAAACTTTATAAAATTTCGTTATTTTCCTATAATAACGTTGTCGCGGGGAATGAATGGATCCCAAGATTTTTTACACACTCAATAACTGCTAAAGTAAGTGTTTATATGACGGTAACTTTACAGATGGACGGTGGGCCAGTAAATCACTGTCACCGTTGTATCCCTAGTTTCAAACGTCATGCTTTTTATCGATGTGAAGCTAGCACGACGTGAAGCTACCACGACGGATTTAGGTGATCGCTTAATCCTTAATGTTGGAACCCAGAGGCATAGGACCTGCATGTGGGGTCTCGGAAGGACATACCCAACACCCTCATGCAAGGTCCTATGCCTCTGGGTTCCAACATTGAGGATTCAGCGATCACCTAAATCCGTCGTGGTAGCTTCACGTCGTGCTAACTTCACATCGATCATTTCGTTACTCTACAGACGCTGAGAATCCATTATGAAAAAAGATGCAAACTTTTTCGTTTGATTTTTTTCCTTTTCTTCATGCCATTATTTCGATAGCTGCTGCGGATGTGTAACAAGAAATACATTAAAACTACTTCTTTCATTCTTGTTTCTTTCTTTTTTGCTAAGCTTAATAGTGACTAAAACTTTTTTGCAAGATAGATAAAAATAATTTAGTTTAGTTCCCTTTTCTTTTTTTCAGTTCGTTATTATAAAGATGACTGTGTCTATATTACTGAAATAGATCAGTTTTCTTGAGCTTATTTAGGCTGTTAGATGGCGAGCATCTTTTGAATAAAATAATTTCGTATTAATATGCTGATATACGTATATTTATAGTCTGATTTGATTACACCATCAACACCAACATTATCTGCACTTGATACCGATTTTCTTCGTCATGTATTTTCTCAACAATTTCGTCGATCACTTGATCTATCTGCCTATTTTACTGCAGCTGCAGCTTCGAATAGTACTGGTCCAACATCAACTCTGTTTCGTCCAAATTTTCTTCGATCACTTATTGCCCTACCTTCATCACTTTCAACAACACTTGTATCATGTCATGGTTCTTATCAAAGTGTTTTATGCCCTTGTGTTTTATTGATCAAATTCTTTTTGGGTGTGGGTGGGGGTGTGTGTGGGTGTGGGGTGGGGGTGTGGATGGGTGGGTGTGGGTGTGGGTGTTGGTTGGATAAGTGGAATTTGCTGAAGAGAACAATTGTACCCACACCCACACCCACACTCTTTTCTTGAAAATTATATTAGTCTATAAAGTTTACTGTCTAACAAATAGAGAGCAAACTGTTTACTATGAAAGAGTAATAATACTTGTCTGTTTTACTAATGTAACTCCAATGTCAACTTCGATAGATTTGGAATCGAGTTCCGGAGAACGATGCAGAGCTCCATGTTGGTTTGTTTCACGCAATATTGTCGATTATGTTACGATTTGACCCCTATGCGTCCAGTCATATCATTTATCATATCATCACTAAAGCGTGAGTATACATGGTGGGTTTGGTGGAAAACAGCGAAAAGGAAAACCGCGAAAAAAAATATAGGAAAATATCGAAAAGGAAAATGCAGAAAATTAAATGACGAAAAGAGAAATTTCTAATAGAAAAACAGGAGACCGGATAATATCGAAAGGAAAACATCGAAATGGAAAATATCGAAAATGAAATTTTTCTAATTCTGAAATATCTTTTAGTCGACTGTGAATAAATGAATGAATGACTAAATAATAATGGACTAACTTTTAGTCTATTGTAAAAGAACGACTAAAGTAATATTCAGATAGAGGAACCAAATCAGTGAAGCAATAGCCAATAATAGATCAGGAGGATAAATGTACGTATACTGCAGACAGCTATTTATTCTATCACATCTCTTCGATATATTTCTTTCGATTTTTTCCTTTCGACGTTTTCCTTTTGATGTTTTCCTTTTTCCAATTTTTGTCGCTGTTCTTCCTTTCGTCGTTTTAATCTTCTGTATTTTCCTTTTCGATGTTTTCCTACTTTTTTTTCGATATTTTGCCAATTCGGCATTTTCCTTTTCGCCGTTTTCCGTCAAACCCTACATGGTTGTCTTCTTCGGTGATACTTTTATTGAATATAGCATATTGATTTTTTTAATTATGTTAACATCTTATTTTTTTCGATAAAATAATTTCTTCTAAAAATGATTGCCAAATGAGAATTCATTTAGATGAAGACGAAAATTTTTAGAGAAATAAATTAGACAATGATCAGCTAGTCTCTGTAATGAATACCATAGATTTGTTTTCACACGGAAGAGATAAAAAGCTAATTGGATGAAGAATACGAATGTGTCAATGTAATTGCAAAACCGAAGAAGCAATAAAAATATTTTGTTTTTCTTTCTTCGAATGAGTCAATATATCGATCACGCACGTCAATTTTTATTATTAACGTTTTTAAAGAATATGACAATCAACAAATGAAACAGTTGAGTTCTTTGAATATCAAAGAAAAAAAAAACATTTTCTGTTTATAAAAATGTCTCGATTTTTCTCAACAGAATAATTGTTCTTTTTTCTTCCTTGTTTCTCTATAATAAAAAAGCTGTCAATCACAATCTCGTGATTGTTTTTCTTGACGCGACTACACGAAACATCACGAGGTAAAAATGAATCACATATAAAATAGGCAACAAATAATTGAAAATTTTTTAATCAGTTTTGTTTTCTAGAAAAAAAAAAGACGAATAATGACGAAAAGTTTTTCTCGAGTACATCTCTACTTTATTCGTCATGGAGAATCCGAAGCCAATATTCAAAGTATTTATATATGTGGTCTAAGTATTTCATGTCCATTAACTTCATTAGGAAAAGAACAAGCTGTTCTATTAGGCAAACGATTAAAATATGAAAATATGAAATTTGGGTGTGGGTGTGGGTGTGCGTGGTTGGGTGTGGGTGTGGGTGTGGGTGTGGGTGGAAAACAGCGAAAAGGAAAACCGCGAAAAAAAATATAGGAAAATATCGAAAAGGAAAATGCAGAAAATTAAATGACGAAAAGAGAAATTTCTAATAGAAAAACAGGAGACCGGATAA